GCTCACACCGAGCTGCGAGACAGCCGGACAGATTGCCAGAAACATTCAGTAATTAATTGGATTCTCTTGTCACTCGCTGCTGCCTGGGAGTGTCCTTGAAGCAAAGGCAGCCTCATTCATGAGCACAGCATGGCAGACATCAGCTTAAGTCATTAGTGACACAAGTACCAGAAACTAGAAGGAGAAACTAGAGGTTTTTCTGACTTAAAAGTCCCCACAGAAGTCACTGAAAAATCAGGAAACCCACCCAAGCTCCAGCCCGGCTCCGTTCATGAGGCTGCCAGGGAAAACAGGGAAAACTGCTCATCTTCTATCCAGCCTCCACCAACATCACCTTTCCAGCAGCCTTAACTTAGAGCGGGATTAACTTTTTTAAAGTGCTGAAGATTAGCTTTAATTCTGCCCTCAAGTCAAGAGTGAAGCTCCCAGGGCATCAGAAGAAGCAGGGGCTCCCTGGCAGTGTCCTGCCCAGGCCTGTCCCACCTTCAGGGAGCTCACCTGGACACAGCTCCTCTCCGAGAAGCTCTTCTAAGTTTCTAAACTGTGTATAAGTTCCTTTTATGGAAAGACAGACCTGTTAAAAAAGGTTTTATTGAAAAAACTCATCCACTTGTTCCTTTCCTGTAAGTGGCTCGTTGGATGTGGCTTAAAGAGTTTGTGACTGCTTAACCAAAGCTGAAGTTAAGCAGGAAAAAAAAATAGGACCTAATTCTTTTACATGGGCTCTAGGTTGGCAGTGCTGTTACTGTAATTTGCACAATCTGATAAACTGGGCAAAAACTTGGTTTTCACATGGAAAGATGTGGTTCATCGTGTAGCAATAGGAAACTGCCTTAAGGGCCAGGCCTGGTAATGTCATTTAATAAATGTGAAGAGAGTGAAGATGACACTTGCTATGAAAATGCCATTCCTAAATCAGAGGTGTGGAGTCAGGCAGCCCAAACACCCCGCCAGAGGAGCCCCACGGGTGGGTATCCTGATTTCTCAGCTTCCCTTTCTGCTCAGCAGTGACATTATTCACGTGCTCAGCTCCAGCCTGTCCCCACAATCGTACATTCTTTAACCTCATCCGGCCACCGACACGGCACACATCCCTGCTAGCACAGCTCTACCAACACAAATTATCCCCAAGCTCCCATAAAGACGTGCTCACACAGAAAATGGCAGAAACGAGGAGTTTTTTCTACTCCAGATTCCACCAAGTTCTAGTTTAACAAGTCAGGGCACAGCACTTGAGCATGGAAAAAAAAAATAAAATAATCAAATTCACCACCTGCCACCTCTATTGGAAATATGTCATCAAGACTAAAAAATTACAAATTAAATAAGGTAAAGTCATCAACTGTATCATCTCCTTTCTCACCTCCAGTTACGGCAAAGCATTCAGAGTGACATTGTGGGTCTGAAATAGGTACCTCCTTTATAAAACTTGAGAGCCTGGGCGACTGTTCCTTAGGAACTGTAATATCTAATGGAAAAGCACCATTTGTTTTGCCACTATGAGGCTACTGATCAGAGAAAGTTTTTGCCACAAAACCAGTCGGAGCTTCCTGCTGATGAGACTGCATTTGGGTTTCGTTAATGGCTCTGCCTGCAAAACACACCACCCTCCAACACACCAGGGCCCCGTATCAGATGCTTCCTGTCTCTGCTAAACTTAGATCAGTGATTATTACCACAGTCGGCTTGGCTTTCTTTAGACTGGTCATTTCATTCATCCCCACTCCCTCCCTATCCCCAGCTGGCACAAAATCAGTAGTTTGGCAGTTCAGAAGAACCTGAGGGTACAGCTCTTCACTGCAACTGCAACGCATCTCGCATCGGGCCAAGCTTCAGAGCAAGAAACAGGTAACAGTGGTTAAAGTCAGCCTTGGGCCCACTGGGCTGGTCTTTTTTGTTTTTTTCTTCCCCTCCCCCTTTTGGGAATGTCCATGGCAAAGCTCGTTTTTAAGACTTAAGAACTTTTTTTGAAAGTCTTTTGGCCCACCATCCTTTAAACAAGCAGAACCCGTACACACACGCACTAAATAAAAATCAGTACAACAGGAGGAGCGGCTCAAAAGCACACCCCTAAAATCAACTCAGACAAATCATCACTAGCTGCCCCAGGTAACTAATGTGTATAGCTTTTGATGATTTAAACATGGTTTTAGAAATTAAGAAGCTTGCTAGAGTGCTTCACATTCCCATCTGCAATAAACAGGTAGCAATATTAATGTAACAGACACCAAAAAAAATCACTGAATTGAGGTTTTCTGTTCCCACAGGCAATAAATTCTCAACCCAAGTCCATCCTATCCGCTCTCAAAGCCACCGAAGGGATTAAACACACACAAAAAGGCAGTGTTCAGAGCTGGTGCTGGGGTTTGACAATGTACTTTGAAGGGACACTTGGCCACCTTACACAACTGTATCTATTGCATATTAAACTCATACAGGCATCACCACCGCGTGCTTTTCCTCCCGGGTGGAAGTATTTTCTAGGCTGCTCAGAGGAAACCTGTGCAAACACGGCCATGGCAATGGGAACTGTATTTTTTTTTCTTTTCAAAACCAGCAATTATCATTAGGTTTGTAACAGAAGGTGCTTCCCAAAGCTACAGCAAAAGCCCCGCTGGAGATTTTAATCCTTGCTCTATGCTACGTGCTCTGACAGACGTCAACTTGCTGACCTGGGCTGGAAGGGCCTGGGATGACATGAGAAAATCTAAGAAGCCAAATCTAATCCGCCTTTGAACAAGCTGTTATTTGAATTATTACAAAAACAGAGATTTCAAACATATAACACTAAAATCCCAGCTTCTGAGCTTGCTGGTGAACTTCATTCACGTACAGATGTGACATGTAAAAATGTCAGTGACACCGAGTACTTGTAAAACCACCCAAATCCATCTGCTTCAACCAGGAGGGGGGGGACTCACGACTTATTTCCCAACGTTTCTGTCCCATGCGAAATATTATTGGGTACAAGGCACCAAATCTAAGGAACCGTACAAAATTAGTTTGCAAAACTGTATTGGCAGGTAAAAGTAACCTCCCTGTCTCTTGCTTACGTAGTTCTCATTGCACCACATCGACTTCCACTGGAGCTCATCCCGGGGTGATCTGAACAGCCAGGAGTTCATTAGTCTGTCTCACTGGGATGCAATTAAGCACTGGGGACGTTACAATCAATAAAAGAGTTTCTAAATTACCACCAAGACAATATTTACGCTAGAAGCCTTGCCTTCTGAAAGCAAAAAACCCCTCCTGATAGCGAGTCCATAGGACACACTGCTTTTACCATTTCCAATTTGATTCTTACACTCAAATAAACGTCTGGAATTCCCTAAGTGGGGGTGGTGCTGCCACCCAGGCAAGTCTGACGTCAGGCATTGAATATGCATTATTCCATTTGCTGCCTCACCATTAACAACTTCCAAGCCAGACCAGAGAATTGTTCTGGTCAGAACAAATAGGGAAAAAATTTGGTTTTTCAGTGCTTTGCAGAGAAATTGGTTTTCCATGATGCATAGTTCAACTGGGGAACACAGAGAGTAAAGGGATAACATAAAGGCAAATGTATGTAACTAACCCGCTAATGGAATAAAGTTACCTAAAATAAAGGGTTTGCCAACAACTGCAGCAGACGCTGTATCACACCTGGCCATGAATACCTTAAGATTCTTCACTCATAAAAACATAAAATTATGGAATGCCAAGTTACTTACAAGTGGAATGGAATAAGGAAATGCTGGGACCGTTCTGTCCCAGAGGCTGCTCGCTCCTGACGCTGACACTGCCAGCGCTCAGACAGTGTCCTGCAAGGTGCCAGGAGCCTCACGCTGCCTCCGAGCATCTCTCAAGGCAACTCGCTCCTTGGTACACGGCTGGAACCCCAGTACAGGCATCCCAGCCCACAGAGAAACCAATTCTGCTCCTAGTTTCACCAAAAATAAAGGGGTTTACGTTGCAGACACTTCGCTCACAACACACAGCTGGGGCAACCAAACTTCAGGTGTGAGTCAAGTCACATCATCTGCCCCTGTGTTTGCAGAAGCAGAGCCCTAAACCTGCGTTTAGTCTAAATATGCATCAGTGTATTTAGGATTTGAAGCCATCCCATTAAAGTTTGCTTTACAGGCTACCCTTTGTCAGGCTTAAGTGGGCTTCACTGTAACCGCAAGTGGTATTTTCATCTTACTGATGGAGAGAGGTAACTTCCAATCAGAATTTCTGGCAAACAGGACACTATAAAACAGTGTCCACCACGGAGGAAGCATTGGGCTTTGCTTATACAAAGAAGCCTGCAGTAGACAAATATAAACCAAACAGCATAAAAAATGCTATACGCTATCGCTTCCAAATAAAAGCTAAATATTACAGAAACCTCACAGTGTTGGAAAAAGCAAGTTTATTTACTTCAAAGTATAATTCATTCCTTCCCTATCAGGGCAATCATTTTTTTTTTTTTGCCTGCAGTATCTCCACGTCTCAGCACAAACTGGGCTAATGTCACGTGGAGAGGCCACTCGTGTCAAAAGATGTCACCAGCAAATGCTACAGGATCTGCTCGGGGGGGGGATGAGACGCAGCAACGGCGACAGGTAGAACCCCAGCTCCCCACTCTGCTCACGTGACAAATGTGTTACTACCCGAATTCAAAAATATTCACCCAAAACACTCAGTCAAAAGATGAGTATTTGTAGCGAAGAGTCTGGGCTGGCTGCAGTAACAACTAATGCCGCGGTACGGCTTGCCTCGCTGTCAAATTTGTAATATAAAGAGGGTTTCAGGGTTTCTGAGGGATTCCGAGGGCGAATGCACCATTTCATAGTCACAGGAAACCACGCCTGTTGTTTAGAGGAATATAATCCTCTTACAGGGCGGATGGGACAGGGAGGACAGATGCACGGGGAAAATACCATTTTCCCTTCCACCTCTTCGATTAAAAAGCACTATTTTTCCCTTTTCTTTTCTCTTTGAGACACACACTCTTCACAGAGCGTCTATTTTGCTCTAGAGAAGAATCCACCACGTATCTGATAATCCCAAGCACTAATTTTGATTCCTTCAGGAATGTCAGCTTCTACCTGGGCTGAACCCAACTCCGCTTCCCCTGCAACAGGTACAGTCACATTTATTTTTATCGGATCTGTTTGGCCTATTGCATTTTTATTAATGTTATTTACTGGTAGCACAAAAAAAAATCCCCTACCCAGTAAATACACAGATATTACAGACATTCATAAGAAATGCTTCCAGACCCTGCTACATTTAGAGAACCAAAACTCAAACTTTTTAGTCACTTCCCATAGGACTGTTTCAAATTGTCTCATCTCCAAAAAGAATAAAGAGCACAGGATCTCAGAATTATACTGAATTGTCAAGAAGTCAATTTTGTAAGTTCAAAAAGCAGCATGTTGCTCAGACACACGAGAAATGGGAAACTTTAAGCAGAGGAGACTCAGAGAGACACCGTGCTCTGAAAAAATAGAAGTTTCTCGTTTGCTGCGCTCGTCCCTGCACGGCTGCAGCCACCGACAGCGGCCAAAGAGAGACCAGTTTGCCCACAGGAAAGGAGATAAAAAGTCACAGTGGAAAGAGAGGAATGGGATTTGGCAAACTTACCTCTTCACCCCCTCCAACAACGACACAGGGCTGTCAGCGTGTGTCTGACGGGCAAATGCTGACAAGAATTCAAAGGAGAAGAGGGAGGAAGCGAAACACACTTTCACAACTTCTCTGCCTGAAAACGGAACTGATTTTTTGGAAGAACCTCATATTTTAGGTTACTTCACTTTTAACCAGTTTAAAAAAAAAACCAACAAACAACAAACCATCAAGACTGAAGAACCTCATATTTTAGGTTACTTCACTTTTAACCAGTTTAAAAAAAAAAACAAACAACAAACCATCAAGAGCGAAAGACATCATGTCTCTCTGCAGTTACATATTCAGATTTGATTAAAACATGAAATGTGAACATCCAAACCCTAAATTATAAAAACACCTGAGGTGCAACTGGAGGCTGAGAAGTGACTATAAATAGTCAACTAAGGCCCTTATGTTTCTCACAGGATTCTAAAATCAAGATGATTAGATACAGACATTTTTGTAACCTTTCAAACTCGACATGGAATTTGAGATTTAACTACATTCCTTCCCTTTATGTCCCAGCAGAAATAAAGACTTCAGAGGCTGAATTCTGCCCACGGTGCCTGTGTGACCCCCAATGCCTTAGGTTTGGTGTGACAACTGCAATTCATGACGATTTCCATTCCAGAAGCAGTGACAGAACCTCGCTGTGTCTCCCACCGTTGCAGGATTAACCACCACCCTGTTTCCCCTGGGGAAAACAAACCACCCTTGTACAAAAGTGCTACTTTGCCAGTGTACGATGCCTCCACGTCCCCCACTTCTGCTGCCACAGCTGTGCAAGCCAGGGCTCAGACCTCTCTATAATCCCGATGACAAAAGTTCTGCCAGCAGAAGCCCGTAGCACAGGCTTTGTTTTTGCTGCCAGATACGTAAACAGATACAACACACAGGTACATTCCTGTTGTACTACACCGTTCTGGTTTTGTTTTTAAACACACCTTCTCCAGAGCTGAACTGTTTAAAAATCACATTCCTAGTGAATTTAGCTGCCAATTCAGTTCAGCCCAGAGAATAAACCTTCAAGTGTGCACAGAACCTCAGTAACACTGAGAAAAACCGCTGCTGGCAAAGGTTGCCAGCCATGGGTTTGCCCTTGACTGATGGCAAAGAAATAGCTGAGCCTGGGGGAACATTTTCTCTGGTAGAAGAACGTTAACCATTTCTCCAGCAAGAATGGCTCTCAGGGCAGTCAACTCCATCTATCCAACAACCGTTCAAATAAATACCTGGGTGACTGTGTGATTCAGACCCCGGAAATCTGAATGGCAATTGAAGGGGAGGGTACTGTACCTGTTCCTTCTGGAGTTTTATCAGCATTACTAGGGGCTGATGGTTTTTGAAGCCAGCTGAATGCTTCTAATTCCTGCTCGTGCTCATTTGTTACACGCCTCACGCAAATCCTTTTTGATACAAGATGAATGACATACAGCATCAAACTCCCTCATTTCATTTTGTGAGCGGAACTTGACAACAAGATGCTTTAAAACCAAGATTGTGACTACAATCGTACGTGTCGGGATCGCACACCTCGACACGCTTGTCCAGACCCCGGGCGACAAACACCGCGATGTGATCCCCTTCCTGCAGCGAGCCTTTTTTTTCCTACAAAGAGGAAAGATGTGAACGCCAATGGTTTTGAAAAAAAAAAACAAACTGAGACTGTTGACTGAGTTACAGAGCTCCCCATCACGGGAATGTCAGTCTTCTGTCCTTATCACTATTTTTGGAGGGCACCTGAGCTTGGAGTTGTTTTTCTGAGATTCTTGCTTTGTCCTGCACTGTTCTTTGAGTGTAAAAAAGAATGTAGGCCTGGGTTTTGCACACCTCCTCCACGCTACATACATTCAGTTTGGAGTCATTGCAGTGGACCCAAAACCCTAGGAATCAAAGCAAGAAAGAGGACATTAGTAAGGGAGGCATCATCCTATCTGAATGCATTTTGGAACTGTTCATAGGAAACATCCACAGAGAAAAAGAGCAATGTAGGAGAAAAGGCACCTCTATCTTTTTCCCCTCCAGATGCTTTGGGAAGGAGTTTCTAATCTGGAAAACATTTGGATCGTTTCTGTGCTGTTAAGGGAGTTTAGAAATACCAAATCATAATTTAACCAATTGTATATTGTAGCCCAAAGACTCAATTAGGAAAACAAAAATTCTCTGGAGACAGCCAATTTGTACCTCTTTCTCCACAAGTCAGAAGGCAGAGTCAATACTAATTCAGCTGCAGAAAGAGACTGCTGGAAATTCACAAAAACCCTGCGGATGTTATTCATGAATAGTTCCTGTCCAGTTTCAAAACACTTTCTGTTTATCTCATCATCCCAAGGATACTGAGAAAAGACACCCAGCTGGAGCAGCTCCACGGAGTGACATTGCATGAGAAAATGAAGCATTCATGCTGTTAACAGCAAGCAATAAAAGGCATCCCAAAGGGCCGCAAAGCAAAGAGCAGCAATCTGTGGCTTTACGAAAAAAAAAAAATAATAAAGAAAAACATGCTACTAGCAATACATTCTGGGAAACAAGTACAAATTTCAGGAAACTTGATTCTCAACAACTTTGATCATAAAGCTCTACAATGCTCTATGTCTACGGAATAAAACAGGAGTTTCTTGAATGTGTTTCCCCCGTAATAAGGCACACGCACCTCCCTCTGTGTTGTAGCAATATGCTGTGTAGTGTCCTGAGCCAAACCCTTTCCCGTGATGCATCACCACAGCGGAGAGGTCATAGACAAAGGTCTCTTTGTCAAGAGAGGAGAGAGAGTCCCTGCAGCAGTAAGGTTCCATGTTTAATACCTGGTCAAAGAGGACATGGACCCCAATCTTCTCACGGTGATTACGTTCAGACCACCTGCAAACACAAGGGCACGAATCAAAGACTCAGATCCTGCTCTGACATGGTACAGGGCTGCGGGGAGATGCACACAGCAGCAGCCACAGCTAATCAACTCTGAAGAGCTCTCCTTGCCAGGGTCAAGCAGGCATCATAGGATTTTTTCCTTCTGTTTTCACTCTAACACCTTTTCAATGCAACTAGTCCTGTCATTTGTTATTTGTGTCGTGGTTGAGGCTGGGCTGGCCACTAAAGGGACATCGAACCAAGATATTGTTGGGATTTGCAACACAAAGGAAGTCAAACATCTCCTGTGACAGTCAAACAGCATTTAAAATGCTCAGTTCTATAAACACCACACACCTCAGTTGCCTGCGCTAACCATTTTAGAAACTTTTCATAATATTTTGAGCTTTGTCTGCTATGTTTTGTTCAACAGGTAAATACATAACATTGGCATTTAACTATCACAGGCTTTCAATGAATCTGTCACTCAACCTGGCAGTTCATCCATCTCACAGCCACCGTTTCAAGTTTTCTGCAGACTCAGACAAACACTGTTGAATAACAATTCAAGGAGATCAGTATTAATATTTACAAAACATTACACTGTGTATACAGTAGAAAACACACTACAAACAAGCTACTGATTGTAACGTAAGTAGTACTTTGAGGGGGTATCACACACCTGGTTTGGGGATGTTTATACAGATGCATTTGTCAGAAAGCCAGAGAAGTTCCAGGCCCACACTAATCACTTGTTTCTAAAAAGCCAGAGGCGAGTCAGTGCCTGACACCACGGAGTGTGTCCCCCACTCACCTGAAGCGTTTAAGGTGCAGCCGGAGGACCTGAGGTAGTCTGTAGATCATTAACTGCTTTTTAGCTTCACTCAGAACAAGAGGTTTAGGAGAAGACTTTCGCCGTTTGCCTACAAAAAAAAAATAAAAATATATATATATATAAAAAAAAATCAAGGCAAAGATTGTTAGGATGGAATTAATTTTCAGAAGGGGAAGAGAGTACTTTCTGAACTCTTTTTCTCTCGGTAGCAGCAGCCCAGCTCACATGACTCAGGATGGACACACAAGTAAACGTTTCTTCACAGAGCAGCAACTTCTCTAAGATCAAAACTCTCACGTTTAAAAATACTTAAAACTTTTTCACTTTTGTGATGCTCATAATCACACCATCAGTTATCGCCTTCAAGCTGCTCATGCTGACATTTTGCTCTGAGAAATACACCAGAAATATGAAGACAGAGCTAGAGCCAAATTAATCCAGGGCTGTAGCACTTTCAACAGGTGAACTACCAGCATACAAATAATACTGCTATTTGACATATTGTATTCTGTTAAAATACTACTTTGATCTGCTTATTATACCACTGAAGCTCGTAGTAGGAAGCTTCACTAGTTCAAAAATATTAATACAGGTCAGAGAAGATGCTTCCAGAGCAAGGTCCCACCTCTCGCAGGGGTTCTGCCTGCCCCAGAAGGTAAAACAACTGCTGAACCGAAACTGGAGAAGAAAAAAAGGTTCCTCTTCCCAGTGATTACTCTTTCCAGGACACTGAACATACGACTGTACCAGGAGGAAGACAGGTGGCTTCTGGAGCTTCCAATAAGAAATGTACCTGTTAATTAGATTTCTGCACCTCACTGCACCAGTTCAGAACAGATGGGTTGCTCCTCCTCCATCACGTCTGACAAGCAGTGCCCCCAATAGTTTTTGGCACCTAGATACAGGCTGGTTGCCTTTTCCTGATTTTTTTTTCAGCTGGCTAATATTTCCTTAGCTATTTAACTCTGAAGTAACTGTTAAAATTTGGGCTTTCACAAAGAATAAAGAAAACAGAGTTAAGATGATGCTGTACTCATCCACATCGACGCTTTGTGAACATTATTTGTGAATCAGAATCTGTTCCAATTGTATTTTGCTTTGTTTCAAGAACATCGAGTCAATGATTATGAAGATGTTTGGTAACAGACTTGCAAGTTTATATAGAACAGATCTCGACAATTATTTGCTCCTTCAGTTGCTTAGTTGCAATGCAAGTCAAATTATTGGCATTTTCCTCCCAAGGGGATGAACATTTGCCATAAATACCTGCATGGAAAAAAAATTCAAATCCAGCTTATCAGAGTAGCTGAGCTGCATGATTATACACGAGGCTAAAATTATTTTTCAGGCATATAATGACCTTACACTCGGATCTACTACAGGAAAGAAGAAGTCTTATTTTAGCTGAGCACAGCAAAACACGTGCATTCATCTAACAGGTAATACATTAACCTGAGACTCCCAGGATAATGTCAGTTCATTGCTCCTTGAGAAAATTCCTACAGAGAGATGGAAACTCTAACCTGGCAGCAGACTTTGAGAACTCCGCATTTGTGATTTCTGGTTAAAGGATTCCATCAAGAACAAGCAGCATATAGTGACTTGGTATAAAAGTTTTCCTGCCATGTGGAGATGAGCAAGGAATAGGGGATAAGGTGTCTTTTTTCGTCTCTAAAACCAATGCCTTTCTCCCCCAAAATTCTTGACGTTCCCTTCTGCTCCAGCGCAAGCAGAGAGAGCAGCTCTGAAGAGGGTTGTATTAAACTCTTAGCAAATTGTGCTGCTGAATGATGGAGATGAGAGAAAAATGACATTTCAGATCCAAACTGGTGCCCAAAGGAGCAGAAGCCACCAACAGGAGGAGACAACAGCACGAGCAGGGAGGAAGAACAGAGTTTTCCAATACATAGAGGCTAGACAACAGCACGAGCAGGGAGGAAGAACAGTTTTCCAATACACAGAGGCCACAAATACATGTTTTCAGACACAGGAAACGCACCAGAAATCTCTCACTCAGAAAAACAGACGGTGCTTCTAATGGCAAAGAGAGCAGCAGGACCCAACTTACTGTTGCATTGGTCACAGGCGTAAATCCTCCCTTCCAGAGCTTCCGTCTCGGTGAACTTGGCCAGCATTTCGGTCAGCATGCACTCCGTCTGGCTAACAGGGACCAGGCCCTTCTCCATGGAGTGATAGCGCTCGGGGAATTCCAGGGAAAGATCCCAAAAGGGCTCAACGGTGTTGGATTTGTAGTTGCATGTTATGCAGGTGACCTGGGAATGAAAGGTGTACACACAAATGAGGTTACGTACGCCTGCACGTGCAGACCGGCATCTACATTCCCATCTAAAGAGCAAGTTTGTGCCCCAAAGGCAGCACAAGTTCACAGAGATGATCTATGAATTAAGAGAAACACTGTTCATTTCCAATCTGAAAGCTAAGTCTATCTTGAGCAAATAATTTAAACAACTTTCTCAAGTCTCAAAAAAATGGAGACAATATTCACCTTTATGGGATTGACTTCCTCAGATAAACACCACTAGGGGTATAATACCAATTCACTGCTGGGTAACAAGCACTTTGGATCTGTTTTCTACTGCTCTGGCAGGGGGTTGGACTAGATGATCTCCAGAGGTCCCTTCCAACCCCACCCATATCATTCTGTGATTCTGTAATACACTTCGTGGTCCGATCTCGCAAACCCTTAAATGTCAAGTTATGCATGAGTTCATTTCTCCTGGAAAGGAAAGGAAGTGGAAGAATTTCCAAACACACAGGACTCCCAGGGTCTGTCCTGTGGGGAATAATACGTTTCAGACAAGGGAACAGCACAGGAATAAGAGACTGAGCACCAGGACAGGCACTTTCAGCTCCTACAGAAACAGGTTAAGCATGCTCAGTATCTGAAAATGACTTTCAAATGCCTGCAAAAAAAAATATATATATCACAGACAGCTTGTTCTTTATAGCACCAGATGACTGCTCTCTCTGGCCTTCATCATATTCTTTCTAGCCACAGAAACAAACCCAGGAGGGACAAAACAAATAACAAAGACGCCTTAAAAACAGAGTAAAAACTTGGCAGATTTCATTCTGAAGTGGCAAAAGTCAACTGAATTTACAATACACGTGACAAGTATTGAAAATGCTGCCAACCTGCACAGCAACCCAACAGGTTCTTACGGATCTGGTGGCTCCTCAAAAAACAGAGCCTTTGCTCCTTGGTGTGAACGGCTCCAACTGACTTCTGTGCAAAAGCAGGTTCATACCTGACTAAGCAACTGCCCGTGAAAAATGGTGTTCACCACCTTCAGGACCTGCTTGGTGAGCTTCCTCTGGGAGAAAGGGATGAGGATCCTGCGCTTCGTTCCTTCCGACTCCAGCTCCTGCTGTACTTTATCCAACAACTCGCAGAGAAATTCCTGAGCGTCCTGCTGGTCGTAGCCTCGAAACGCGGGGATGAGGCTCCACACGGAGTGCAGCATGGCGAAGGGGGACACCAGCGCCCACTTGCCAGACCACATCACTCTGAAGAGGGTGTGCAATTCGTGACAGAGGGAGATGTGCTTTGAACTCGGTTCCTTGGGCTGTATTAGTTCTAAACTCCTGCTTATTGAGGAGCCGCCATTTAAGCCAGCTGGCAAGCTCTGCGTGCCATATGATCCCACTTTGTCAGTCTTCCCTGACTCATTAGCAGCAGCCCCATTTGCCAATTTGCCAGGCATCCTAGACTTCCCGTTCACAGTTTTGGCTAAGAGTTCTTCTGTTTCACAGAGATCAAGTGTCAAAAAACATTCTCTAAATTTCTGGAGGTGACTTAGCACTTGCAGAATAGAATTCATGTAACATGTGTTTCCCAGGTTCCTTAGACCTGTTACCCCGGGAGTCATCAGAGGCTTACGCCGGATGGAATAAAACTGTTTGAATCTGCTGCTCTGCATCTGCCTTGAGGTAGGGGAAGCGGTCGCCACCTCCCTGAATTTCCTTGGAATCAAGTTCTCTCTGTGCACGTGAGTCAACAGCCTCGCGCTCTTCCGTGGAGGAGTGTTTGCCAGCTCCTCCAGGAGCTGTCTCTTCATCTCCTGCCGCCGCTGCCTGGCTGCCTCCTTCTTCTTCTCCAACTCTTCCATTTGTTTCTTCTGTTTTAATTTGAGCTGGCCTCTAGAGCTCTTATCAAACCAGGTCCGCAGCGCCTTCGCAAGCAAGGACTGGCGCCTGTGCCAGAGAGCTGTAAGCATCTGAGATTGTCCCTGAGGGCTCCTCTGATGGCTGCACACGTCCTCTCCCAACGCCATCGATCTCAATGTCCTGCCGCTTCTCGTCGACGGATCATGCTTTTGACTTTTAATTGCTGACAGAGAACTTCTCAGCAATTTCAAATCCCCCTCCGGGTTATCGTTCAAGACATAATCTTCACAAAGGTAACAAAAGACGTACAGATCGTTAACTTCCATTGCCAACGGATGCCTGGTTTCTTCAAAGTGTTTAAGTGCATGCTCCTCGATGTACCTCCCGCAGGCGACGTGGGAGCACTTCAGACAGGCCCAGATGGACTCCGTTGTCTGGCAGTCCACGCAGCGCCACTTCTGGGGGTTCAGGATTGAGTGGTCCTGGGCGAGTCGTAGCCGCCCAACATGTTTGCATCTATCCATGTCTTACAGGAGTCTTCGCTGCTTTGACCTTGGAAGGCAAAAAAAGAAAGGAAAGGATCTCAGAGCCGCTATACATATTCAAAATGGTCTCTTTTGTACCTATAAAAATACAGATGTCGCGTCTTGTCAACCCCAACTGCAGTTTTACTTCGACCGACTGCATTATTCCTGTGTGCAGTTTTTTTAAAAGCAGTTTTTAGTACCAGAAAAGATATTGGATTGACAAGGTCTAGAGAATAAAACTGTCTATCTGTCTCCTAAGGACAGCCCAGACAGCTGCCAGCACGCCTCACCCAACCTGAATGGCTCGCTTCCAAGGAGAAAAAGATTAATTCAGTCCACACACACGTTTGATCTTTAGCTGCCCCCTTGAAATTGATACATACAAAATGAATTTGGAATTGGAATGCGTGTCATCAGGAACTAGATGGAGGTTACCAACTTCTCGCAGAAGCCACAAAAATATCAGATAATTGTCATAACCAGAGCATTTGCAAGTCCTCAGGTTTTGCATTCTACCCCTCCACTTCTCTGATTTCCCACAGCCTCCCAAACATTTCAGTGTTTAAGAAAAAATTAGCAGGGAAAAAAATTGCAATGTGTAACATCCTGTTACAGCAAACCTAAAGGAACATCTGCATGTGTATATGTTTGCGTGAGCACACATAAACAGAAAAAGCAACTGATTTACTAAATTACTATGTTGTAAGTGAAGAGAAATCAAAGCAGGGATACTGGAATGAGCAAAAAGCTTCCACTCTCGTGTCCTTCGTCCATATGTTTTATAGAAGATACAAAAAACTGTACAAAAAACACAACTAAAACACCGCGTGTCAGTGCTGTGGTTTCTTTTGTACGGTCCCCTCGAACGCTTCCACCCAAGTGAAGAGGTCAGGGTGCAGCACCAGCCCCCAGACCCGCTCCCTCTACTCACGCAGTCATGTTTCTACATCCTTTCCTCCACCACGCAGCACCCAGGGCGCGGAACATCCCCATTGCAGCCAAAGGAGTCTTGGCGGTTCTTCGAGAATTTAATTACTACTTAAGTCTTCATTGTAAGGCAGCACAGCTTCAAAGCCCTAGAGAGAGAATATTCTTGTGATGCACATAAACAAAGTAAGAACGCTGGCAGGGTTGCTTCTGAACACGATTAATCCTCTCAGTGCGAGAGCTACTGCGGAGAACACATTTATTACAGAGAACAGAATTATCTGGAAGTCAAAGCACTGAACGCACCTAGGAACCCAAATACTTAGATGTTAAGAAACGTCACATGGAAGAGGCACTCTGGAATTTCATTTTTTTTCCCTGCTTTCATTTTCTGAGAATCTATAAATCTGCTGATCACATGTAGCCTCTTCATCACAAGTCTTTTGTAGTGGATGACCCAACATATGGCAGAGAAAAAAAAAAAATCTGAGTTAAAAAAAAAACCACGGAGCAAAAACGTGCACCTCCTGTGATCACTTCAATTTTGGCTGCTTCGATAACTTGGTGAAAGAAGGGGGGAGGAGATGGGGAAAAAAGGAAAAAAAAAGTCTGTCCTGAATTAGATTTCATTTCTAGATGATTTTCCAAACAATAAAACGCAAGTAATTAATAGCTGTCAAGTGTGAACTGCAACAAAGTAAGGACTACGGAGGAGAGAAAAATAGGAAAAACCTGCATTTTGCCAAAGGCAGAAAAGACTGTAAAAACTATCTGTTGTAATAATCCAAGAAAGACTAAATTAACTTGCTTACGCATCTCCAACTACAGTACTTGAATACAATATGAAGGAGTGATAGGAGGGACAGCTAGAACAGGCACAAAGTGGTTACAGATGTCACAGAGAGTGTCAGGTCTGGCATACAGAATATTTAGTTACAAAAAATCATTTTAGGAGGGGTGAAGTTTAACGTAACGAAGGTCATGACATGCTTCCCCAAAGCTTCAGGACAGGTATCGAACAGTTGCCTCGATCGCTAGGCAGAAAACCTATCTGACCAGGCTAAGACAACATATTTTTAGTGGCCTCCAAATTACGCAAATTTAGTTTAATTACAATCTTTTTCCAGTGACATTTCTGCTAAAGATGGAATCCGTTAAAGAAAAATCAAAGCTCTTCTATTCTTTAACTCGTCTCGACTCCAGACTAAAACACAAGTGGCCACTTCAGAACCCATCTCCACGGAGTGATTCCGCGGTGTATAAATAACCGCTTTTAGTTGTTTCTCTAAAATGGTTCAAAAACCCGCTTCACCTCTCCTTTGGGCTGTGTTCACTCACTCACAAATCCCAGGATCTGGAAAGACACTTTTGGAAATCCAGCACTAAACAAAGGACTGATTTGGTTTCCTCCTTCCAAGTTGGAAACGTCCCTTCCCACCTTCCTCTCACCTTCCTCCCTGACCTTTTTTCCCCTCTTTCTTCTTTCTTTTTCTGCTCCGGTCTCGATAGAAAATTGTGGAATAATCCCGCCTAGCCTTGGTGAGACCAAGTGGCATAGATTCCAGCTTGAAAGAGTATAGACACTATGGTAACATTGACAGCCTTCATTTACATAAAAGAATACTAATTATGTTGTATCATCAACATCTGTGATTCTGCTCACTGCCATATGCGACAGTGTTGGGAATTTAACCCTTGAGTCTCACCAGCACAGCCGAGATTTGTGCCGTGTAACAAAAAACGGGCCTTTTACATCCAATTTTCTAGAGCCCGATTAAACAGGCGCCAAGGGCCGGCGCTCACCAGCTCTGGAAGGTCTCGGGACACGAAATTTCAAAGAGCACTGAATTTATCCTCAATTTCCAAGGAAAAAGAAACAATGCTGATATGTTGCTGGTTTCAGCTGGGTAACAGGCTACAAGGAAATCAATCACACACCAGATACAGTGCATTAAAGAATCATGTTTAACAATGAAGTAGGCTGTCAGTATATAAATTACAAGCCTTTTGTCAACTGCTTTTGCTTTTCCTGTGTGGGCCAGCAAGATTTCCTGTTTGCAGGAGGAAAGAGAATTTAACAACGCTGGTCAGTTAACAAAGCAGCTCTGTTACACCTTAATTCAGTCATTCTCAGCACAAAAGCATCTTTGATACCGCATGCGATATTCCCCCACCTGTTTCTCCTTAGGTATCTATGGATACTTCCCTTGCAAATCCAAGCCCTAATACCATATACACTGGGCTGCTCTGCAAGTTAGGAATAAACGGTGTTTATTTAACCCAAACCACTTCAATGATAGGTCTTTTCAACTTCCTCAAATAAGAGCTGCATTTCCTCGGTGTGGTTTTGGTGTCCACGCTGCCTGCACAGCACCTGCACGGGAGCAGCTTTCCCGGCCATGCAGCCCCACGCTTTGGGATTTCTCCAATTAAACATGCCTGTTACCCACTCACATTTTTGACCCCTTCCATAAAAAAAAATAAAAATAAAAAGAATAAAAAATTGGCTCTCTCGCCTTGTGCAACACGTACTAAAGGCAGCTGGAGCGTCTGCAGGTTCAGCCCTGTCATCCCACACGCAAACAGACTATTAAATAAGTCATTGAAAGACATTAACATGACTAAGAACAAAATTTGTTCCTCTCTTTTACGTAGGTAAACAAATAGCTTGCCCCAACCTACTAGCAAGAACAAAAAGATCGCGCTACCAGGAGGAATTATAGAGCGATGATTAAAGGGAAACCCAAGGATGAGTCAGAACTTGTAAACAGTCGCACAAGGGGAAAAAACAAACCTTGCAGAGATTACAGAGCTGGAGCTGCTTAAAATATTGCAACAACTGGGCACGGATTGACGTGGTTGACATGACACCCCAGGACAAGCCACGAGCAACAAGAGAATTTAATGATGGAGAATTATAATACCTTATATTTTAAGGACTTGGAAACAAACATCACGCTTCTCTTGGCAATGAGTTTATCAGGTTAACTTCTTAGTTTTACAACTTTTTTTTTGCATCGAGATAGATCTCATTTTAAGAAATATCTATAAATTCATCCATTCTCACCTACTTAGATCTTTTCTTTACCAAAGACAGAGTGAGGGAAGGAAAAGAATGGAGTAGGAACAAGCTTAGTTACTCTGCATGGAGAAGAGGTAGCGGAGAAGTCACCTACTTAGATCTTTTCTTTACCAAAGAAGGAGTGGGGGAAGGAAATGCTTTGCATGGAGAAGTAGTAGCAGAGAACTGTGGAGCTGCGTTGCAATACAACTAAAGAGGAGTTAAAACACCAATAAAATAACAGGAAACAAAAGGAAAATAGGGACTCTAGTTTAGCCAGCAATGTTTTAGAGACAATTTGAAAAGTTCTCTCCTTGCAAATGACTTATGGTATTTAAATACTGGGTCAAACTCTACGTTCTTTCCTTGCATGGCTCATAATCCTGGAAAAACTTATGGCAAGATGCTCTAACAGCTTCAAGAACGAAACTCAGCAGAAACAATTTGGCTCTTGACCCTAAAAGAGTGTTAAAATAAAACACATGACTTTATTATGTTTCTTTGTACCATTGTTAGACATTTGGAAACTGATTAAAGACATCTGTAGGGATCTGTTGACACTAGCTACTTTCTTTTTCTAAATAAATGTGCACAAAGCAAAAAAGAAAAGGAGGGGGAAAAAAATAAATCAGGAAAGATGCTGGATGTTTAGCCTTGGAAACGAGACGCATCCTTCATTTGTCTAAGACTTGATTCCAGAACAAATAAGAGTCTTCAGCGCTGCCGCAAACTCCTTTAGCTGGTCTGGAAATCATCTTTAGGGACAGGTGGGAAGCTCAGGCTTCGTTCATTCATCCCTCTCCTGGGAGCAGGAGAAGTGAAACACAGCAGCATTTCCCCAGTCCACTGGGATACCGTGGTAAATAAAGCACGTTTGCCTTTTTTTTTTCCCCCCTTCTTCTCGTTTTGTTTTAAAACACTGTAAGAAAAAAGTATCCTTTGATGTTCTTGTTCTCGGTCAAACCTACATCTCCTACACAAATATAGTGCATTTGATCAAACAGGTTTAAAAAATCTTGGATGCAAAACAACCAACCACCTTCCACTCTCCCCCCTTATAAAAGATTTTTTACGTTCAATTCCGGAGCAGAATTTCTAGCTTGCTTCAAATACTCAAAAACGCAAATAAGGACATAACAGAGATAATACATACCTAAAAAATGCATAAAACTACTCAAAAAAAACACTTTATTCCGCCAATTATTTTAACCTACCCATTTGTGAGGAATCAATTATCCAACCAGATGTCTAATGAAAACATGGAATCTGAGCTGCGCGGAAAATGGTGAAAAAAAAATTCCCTGCTCAAGACATTCCCGTTCCTCCACCAGCAAGAGCCATCCCCGGACACAATCACAGCACAATCCTCATCCGCTTCTCCAGGCCACCAGCAACGACACTTCATCCAACAGGAAAAACTCGTGTCATTGATATTCCATTAGAGGAAAGGACTGAGTGTCATCACCACATCACCTGAGCAGGTTTCCTCTGTCCTTACAATATCACTGCACGGTCCAGAACTGCTCACACGGAAACCAGAGCATGGAAAACATCCAGGAAAACGTGCCGAAAGCTCTTTTTGCTTCTTTTTTTTTTCTCCAAAGAGCCACCGGCTTCCCTGGGCAGGAACGGGTTTCTCCCTTGACTCCTCTAGTTCAAACCCTGCTGGTTTTAGACTTTCAAATTGCATCTCCAAAGAGTAACAATAGCCCTAGAGATTTTTTCAATTATTCTGAAAGCATATTTTCTTGAAAACTGTCAGCTTTATACCCTACAATTGCTGGATCCCCTCTATCCAGGATGACATACTATCAAGTTAGTTACAGGCAAATTAACACAGCTGACAAAGAAAAGAAGGAAAACACAGGAGGAAAAGTTACGGATGATTCAGGATTCGGCATTTCTTTGAAAAGGCAAGCAAAGCAGTGAATTAAATAGCTACTGTGAATACAAAGATAAACCAGAGTTTGAAAGACAGACGGACAAACAGACTTGAGCTGTGACAGCAGAAGTTGTCACCGAACCCACCTCCCTCCTCGAGCATCAACCTCCTTACCCAGCCAGAGCCCTGAAACACAGAAA